TGCTAAGGAGCAGCCCACATGCGCCCTGTGATTGAAAGGGCACGTTGAGTAATGCAAACGGATCTGGCTGCCACCTGTTTTCTTGGCAAGGCTTCTCTGCTTTACTTTTAGCAGCTGCACGACAAATAGACATTGCAGTACAGTGTCAGAAACCCGCTGAATTTCTGCCTGTATGCAGTTGTTCACAGCATAGGAGTTCTATCAGAAAATAGGTGATTACCCCATAACACATGATTGCAAATCAGAAATCGGAAGAACCAAAACATGAATGGGTTGAGGCCGTCTAATTATTTACGATGATGGAGCAGGGAAGCAAACAAATACCGTATTTTTCGCTCTATAGGACGCACCGGAGCATAGGAGGGGGAGAACAGGAAAAAAAATTTTTTTTCTTGTTCTCCCCCTCTAAAACAAGGTGCGTTCAAGGTGCATTCAATCAAGGCCATTTCAATCAAGCACATGCTTAACTCTTTGTTAGCCAATGGGACTTTGAAGTACTTAAACTTCATTGGACTGTACCTGTGTGGCATTCATTAGATTTATTAGATATTTTTGTTTTATGTTATGTTTTAAGTTATTCTTATTTTTACTATGTATTTTGTGGTTTTTATGTTGTAATTTAATGTTGTGAACTGCCCTGAGATCTGCAGGTGGAGGGTGATATACAAAATGTAATAATAAAAAAGTAATTTCCAATGCTAAATTTTGCTATGCTCCTCTAGCTCAAGAGGAATATGTAACTCCATATGTATATGGACTCCAGGAGGGGGGCAGCTCTTAACTGTGGGGATTGAGCCTAGGGTCCTTGAGGCTGGAGGGTATTTCTTCAAAGCCAAAGTATGAGACAGAGTACAGACCTAAGTTCACATTTATAGGGCAGCTGCAGGACTATAGGCCTGGAGGAAGGAACCTCGGGACCAGGGGCTGAATGTGGCCCTCCAGGCCTCGCTGTATGGCCCTTGGGGCTCTCGCTAGGCCACACTGCTTCCCAGGTAATGCCACTCATTGGCCCTGCTCCACACCCTCTTCAAGTGCTTTTGTTTAGCCAGAATGTGTCATTGAATTGCGATAATGCCTCTTGTTACCTGAAAAGAAGTGTGTGCTCACAGGTGCAAACTGCTTGCGTAGCTTACTGTATAAAGGAAAGACTCTCATCTGTCGCTCTGGCCATTTTTGCAACTGCCCTGCACCCACCACTGGCATGAAGCCCCCCAAAAGTTCCCCGAGAGAGTGTAGCCCTTAAGCTGAAGGAGATTCCCCATCCTTTCCCTTAAGACCCTTTCTTGAGGTTTTTTTTTGCTGCACTGCACAGTAGTCCAACTTTTCCAAACCTGTTTGCATGGTACATGAGGACAAGCTAAATATTGGCCACATTCACATCTTACATTTGAAGTGCTACAGTACCACTTTAAACAGGCATGTTGACTTCCATGGGCTCAACAACTTTGATTTCTCAAAAGCTCAACAGCTTTGCCAGCCCCCACCCCCAACAAAAAATCTTGGCTATGCCCATGATGGCTTCCCACAAATTTCCTCTTACCCCTGGGAAGAGGGGATTGGTTATTGAACCACCCTGGGAATTGTAGCTCTGTGAGGACAATAGGGGCTCCTAGAACTATTTGAGGAAGCCATGACTATTTAAAGTGATGGTATAGCACTTTCAAATGTGTAGTGTGCATGTGGCTGTTGTCAGAGAGGTGCAGTATGCTCTGAGCAGCTGGAAGCTCAAGTAATGCCTGGAAATGTTATTGCAGGTACGCCATTTCAGAGCAGCGGGTGAGGGGATTCATCAGGGTATTGTGAGCACATTAAAGGTTAAATAGCATATCTGCTGTGTATTTCAGAGCATATCCAGTACTGTATATATTATATATAATCTTCAAACTATAGGAATGTTATTAACATTGGATGAACAGGCACCCCCCCTTTTTTTTTTGAAGCAAGGGGGTCTGTGCCTTTCTGATGCATATGCTATGTGGATCAGTAAGTAGAACTAGTGATCTCACCACAGGTAATAGGTCCCCCTAGGAATAATCCTTGAGTCCAAAATACTGTTTGTGGAAAGGTTGCCATCTCCTGGGTTTGCCTCCCTGTGTTACCACCCCTGAGGAGTTAATGAATCAGTCATGCCCAGTTAATTGCATGATTACCAAGTGAAAAGTGCATTCACATGAAAACTATTGCTCTTGGACATCTGTAGGTACCACTTGCACCCAAGGTACCACCTGTGTATTGTCAGCGAGGGCAGATTACTAGAATCCAGAGAAATGTGGGAGCTGGAGATTAATTCTGCAAGACAAGCACATGACTCCGACCCTTTTCTGAGGCAGGAGATGGGACGCCTCCCCCACCCCAAATCAATCGATGCAGAGGAGGGGCTTCGTTTGCTCGCTGCAAACGAAAGGCGCCCAGTGCCGGATTCCTGGGCGGATGTGGCTGACTCTGAGAGGTGGAGCCTGGCAGTGTTTTGCTGGAGGGAGGAGCCCCAAGCAAGCAAAGTCAATTCAGTTCAAAGCAGCTCTGTTGGCAAGGGTTGTTTATGTAAGGCTTGCCAAGGTTCACGATAAAGGATGTTTGGAGAGGGAAAAGGAGCCATGCACCTACAATCAGACATGATCTTTTCACCAGAGGCCACACCTGAGTTTCTTTTCATTCAGTGTTGCAAAAATGGCACAGATTTTGTGGCACCTTGCAAGCTAACAAATCTATTGTATGGCATGAACTGTCCTAGAGTCTGCAGAGGCTCATTACGTTCCTGAGAACAAATGTCTTGCCAACATGGGCTTGCCAAGAGTAGAGACTACTAATTCCAGAGCCTCCCACCCAGAGCCTGCAGTGACCAGTAGCAACCCAGCTTGCTAGGACTGACAGCAGGTCATCTATTGATTCCAAAAGCGAATCTGAATTTTAGGTGATACACTGGAAAAGAAAAGTCAATAGGAGTCAAATGGGTAGCTTTAGTCTAGAAGGTGGAGGGAATGTTCATTCAGAGAATAAGATCAGCTGGTATTTCGTGTTTCTCTTTCATTTTCTAGGGCACTTCCACACCATCACTATTTCTGGCTGGGATGCAATCATATACAGTGGTACCTCGGGTTAAGAACTTAATTCGTTCTGGAGGTCTGTTCTTAACCTGAAACTGTTCTGAACCTGAAGCACCACTTTAGCTAATGGGGCCTCCCACTGGCGCCGCGCCGCTGCTGCGTGATTTCAGTTCTCATCCTGAATCAAAGTTCTTAACCCAAGGTAATATTTCTGGGTTAGCGGAGTCTGTAACCTAAAGCGTATATAACCTGAAGCAAATGTAACCTGAGGTACCACTGTACCAGCAAATTTCAGTGGCACAGTTAGAGTTGCACCACAAACCCACTTCCCCCCAAAATCAGACCTCTTCCCAATAAGGAGAATTACAGGAAAGGGTGGGATAATACTTGCTTTATGCTCCCTGAAAACAAATCAGGATCAATGTTCAGAAAACAAATTGTCTTGAAGCAAACCTAGTTTCAGTTCCCAGTTAAGGTTGCCCACTTTAGCCAGCCTGTGTAGCTGTGCCTTTAGCAATAGCTTACTGTATAGAATTGGCAAGTGAAATGAATGACTTTCTGATTTCTACACACCAATCTGCTAGTAAAGCAAACCACTTGGGGGGGGTGTATTTGTGGCTTTTTTGGAGTTGACAAGTCTACTTCAAGTTTGTGAGAGTCTTGCCCACTTTACAGATGGTAGGTTGGCTATGAAGCAGATATAGTGTTCTATGAAAGGACCTGTGTTGGTTTAATTGGTTGCTCACTTTTGAGTTCAAGTTATGTGATATGTCAGTGTTGCTGTTTTGATTCAACTCTGAGTCTTCTATCTGCACTCTTTGTTGCATAACTGGCCATGGGTCATGTAACCTAGGAAATAACATCCAGAGGACAGGACTAGAACTAATGGATGGAAGGTACAGGGAAGCAGTTTTGAGCTAAACCTCAGGAGAAACTTCCTAATGGTAAAAGCCATTTAACAGTGGAGCAGACTTACCTAAAGGAGGTGGTGGGCTTTCCTTCGCTGGATACATTTAAGCCAGGTATGGGGAAGATTTGGCCCACTGGACGTTGCTACAGCTCCCATCAGCCTCAGCAAGCATGGCCAATGGCCAGGGATTATGGGAGATGTAGTTCAGCAAATATCTGGAGAGCTAAAGGTTCCTGACACCTAATCATAGCTGTCAATGTTTCCCTTTTTTTAAGGGAAATTCCCTTATTCCAAATAGTATTCCTCGCATGAAAAGGGAAAAGTTGACAGCTATGAACCCAATTAAAGCAAAGGCTGTCAAGAATGCTCCAGTTGCATCCTGCATTGTAGACAGGGATGGGCTAGATGACTTGCAAGGTCTTTTCCACATTTATTGTTTTATGAATAGATTCTGTTCATGTTTGGATCAAACCTTTGGGTCCTATCTCTCTGTAATTGGGCTGTACCAAAACCTGTATTCTGAGTAGCTGAGGGGGGAACCTCAGACTTCTCCATTTCTGAGTGAGCTATGTCTCCACAGTCACAAGGGGAAGAAAGGAAATGAGCCATTGTGCCTTTGTATAAGGATCCCCAACTAAGGTTGCCAACTTTTCAGCTGGTCTCAGTAACTGTGCCATTAACAGCAGCTTGATATGCGCAGGCATTAGCAGATAAGGTTTATCTTCATGCTGTGAAGAGCTTCCCTGCCAGATTTCTGAATGTGAAGATGAGGTTTAAAAACAAGCACAGACCAGACCACTGTTTCTGATTGGTTGGCAATCCTATTGCTAACTGTGGCTCAGTTTTAGTTTCCTTCTGGTGTAAAAAAACAAATGTTTGTCTGTGCCTTGTTGAGGCTTTAGGGATGGACCTTCAGTGTGTTGTTGTGTGTGTCAGAGACAGTGAATTCTGCTTAGCTTTCTCGGTTTGTATGCCAGCAGGTAAACCAACCAGCCTGCTGGGTATAAATAATAATAATAATAATAACAGATGCACAAAAAGAAAGATGGGTTTGGTAAATGCCTTTATTGGCTACCAGGTGCAGGTCTACTGCTTGGCGGGCCCTTGGGCGCAGAGGCAGGTGTGGGGGGTGCTGGTGGAGTGCAGGAGGGCCGATGCTGCTGCTGCTAAGACACAGCTCAGTGCTGGACACGGCGGATGGACTGGATCTGGTTGGTGTGGGCCTGGGTGCTGTATTCGCTGTACTTTTTGTATTCACCATTCTGTCTGTCCCGCTCCAGGACATATTGGTAGCCCCGGTACCCTGGGTATTGATATGCCACCCATCTAGGGGATAAAGCAGAACATTGGCAATACAGGCACTTCCAGCCCCAAAAGCATATCCTACACCAAAAAAGGGATAGTTCAGCCCTCCTCCCGCTGCTTTTTAACCCATATCTTTTTGGGGGGTCCACTCCTCCTCCAGCAGCTGTTACTGATCAACCAGTCTCAAAAGGGCAGGACGCAATTGGGGAAGGAGCCTGGGAGCCTGGGATAGTTTCTCTTTAAAAAGGGAGGCAGCTATGGCAATCCCAGGATTGCTCATGGTTCATCCAGCTAGCTGTGCTTATTGGTGTTCTTGGCAAAGTAAGAATGAGGTTATGGGAGGATTCCCTTCACAGAACCTGAGGGGCAGGTGGCACTTCCAACTTCGCTCCAACTCAGAAGGCATCACTTACGCTCCAGAATTGACCTTGATAGAAGCCACCTCCTTGTTGCCCCAGCCCATGGCCTGCAGGGATGGATAGTCATCGCTGAGCTCAAACTTGCGTCCTTGGAAGTTCTCTGCCTCATACAGGGTCACTTTGCTGTCACTGTGGTTCTGCAGGATAGGTTAAAGTGGAGGATGATTTGGTGTGGGACTGTCACAGGCAAAGACTTTTAATACCCAACAAATAAACCACAAGTTCACCATGAGTTGCCTAACAGAAGAGCAAACACACCATGGCTTATTTCTCCTACATTTGGTTTATTTTCCAGCTGCCCTAGCCTCGTGTCTTTTGGTGAATGTCTGCAGTGAGGTGGTGAAACACACCATGTTTATGGAAGGGTGCTGGAGTCACAGATAACACCAAGCCATAGTTAAAACAAACCAAGTGTTGTAAGCCAATAATAAACCACAGTTTCATATGGTGATTTGTTGGCAGTAAACAAACCATAGGTACTGCTGGGCAGGGTTCACACATAATGCTAAACCATAATTTAATAAACCATGACTTAGTGTTGTGTGCGAACCAGGCCAGTTATGACAGAGGAAAGGAAGAAGGCAAGATCTTTGAATCTAAAAGAACACCATTTGCTATTCCTGCATTTTTATCCACCTTCCCTTTCAGCTCTCCTTTTCTTCACTTTCTTCCCTTTATTCCCCTGTGGCTAAGCCACTGTCCTATTGGCAGGTTGGATTGCAATGATCAGATTGCAGTGGATGGTAGAACTCCTCAGGCATTGCTCTGAAGGGCCCTTTTCCTGCACAACCAGCACCTGCCAAAATTCCCTGATCTGTATTATGGACTTGCTCCCTTCTTCCCTACCCTCTCTAATGCCAGTCCCTTCAACCATGTGAGGTCTCGTCATCCTCTGGATGATGCCATAATGTTTATATTTGCTTCCCCTTATGACTGGACATCTGTGTGGCCCACCTCCCTTCAAAAACCTTTTGAAAATCCCCCCCCTTTTCTTATAAGGCTTTTGGCGCAACCCCTCTTAGTCCCCATCCCCTACAAAGCCTAAATGAACTGTAGACATATACTGTAAACTTCTCAGGAGCTGGAATCTGTATTTTGCTTGACACACTGTAAAACTCTGTGCACAGTGGTGATACTGCATGTGCACACACACAGAGAGAGAGCACATGCAAAGGAGTTTTATCATCCACTGCCTCTGGTTTCCCTAGATCAGAAGTCGGGACCCTGTGATCCTCCAGACATTGTTGAACTCAAACTCCTATAATTCCCAGCCTGCATAGCCAGTGGTCAGGGATGATGGGAGTTAAGAGACCAGTAACACCCAGAGGACCTCACTTGGGCATCCTTGGGCACTGTGTGTGTTGCTGCCAAGCAGCTGTTGGTGAATGACTGTCAAGCATCTTTATGGGTCTGTCTGTTAACATAGTCCCCAGCAAGCAGAAAAGAAAGGCTTGGGATTCTATCCGTTATGCAAAGAAAACCCTCCTGGCTTTCCAAGTGGTCAGGATGCGTAGTCTCTTGCTATCCTGCTGTGGACTCAAGGGGTTAAAACTGAAACTGGGCACAGCTGCATCCCCCTCCCCCCTCCCCTATCACCCATTCCTGCAGGCTGCACTCCGCCAAGTGATCCTGCCAGCCAGAAACGAGATGATATCTCACACCCCTTTATTAAAGCGCGGACATAATCTGACTGGTTGTTATTAAAGCCCAGAGATGAGGACGTGCAGAGATTTTAAACCCCGGTTAGGAACAGAAGCAACCGCTCTTCAAGATGGAGTGATATGCCATACTGGCTATAGCCTGTTTGGAGCTGGTACTATACATTTGTCCCAGAAAGCCTGGCTGACACTTGCGAGAAACAAAAACAAAAAAACCTTTCCTTTTCAATGCCAACCTTTCCCACCCTTGACCAGCTTTCTGACGTTAATGCTAAAAAAAAAAGCACCCCTCCCAACTTATTCATTTGTCTATGGGAGCTTTTTAATATATGCCACTCCACATTCATTTATTTAGTTTGCTTCTGCCATTGAGGCAGCTCCTTTGCCCCAAAGCCATGTGCCAAACTGAACTGTATGTCTCCCCTTTCTGCCCCAGCACTGTACAGTGAATGAACACCTGGTTTCCCCCATGGGCTTGCCTTAGGTCAGCCCACTCTGCTTATGGATTGGGACACTTTTAGACAAAAAAGGAGTCCAAAGCATGTGGTTCATTTTAGAGTTATTTACTGCCTTGGCTTGCAGGGTGTGTATTGTTTGTCAAACAGCATGGGCCTCTTATTGATCTAGCCAAGGGACTCAGCCTTCTGACCCAGAGATGCTGCCATAAAAGCCCCAATGCACATCACTTCTGCAGAGGGAGACCTAAATTCTTCATTCTCCTCGATCTCACACATTTTAGAGAAAGCAAGGGGAAGGACTTGGAGGGAATTGTTCTACAGCAGTGATTTTTTCCCTCTAAATTTGAAGGTGGCAACCCTAATCTGAGCCTTTCATTGGTTCAGATTAGGGTTGGTGGACCCCAGACCCTGATGAAGCTTTGAACAGAAGGGAAATATTGTCTCATCACTGCAGGACTAAGATGGCAAAAACCAAACCTGGAGCCACTGTAAAAGATGCAAGAGCCCTCTCGACATATTTCTTCCCCATAGCCACCCCCATTTGTGAAAGGTCATGAAGATAAGCAAGATTGCAACCTTGTTTGGCCCTGTCCTCTCGAGTATATTGTTAACTGTTTATATGTGTCCCTTCCCTCCCAGGTTATTGAGTCACCATCTGGAGAATGGGCTTTTACCTTTAAAGCTCCCCAATGATGCAGGAGATGAGATCTCCGCAGCTTCTCCAAACCCCTTTCCCCCTTGTGCCTTCTTACTGCAGTCCTTGCCCTCATTCAACACTGAGCATAATTTTACATTTCCCCTGAGCCCCCGAAAATAAAAAGGTGGAAAACAGGAAGAGTGCCATGGTTTTAGTTGACTGACAGGAGCTATACAGAAATCCGCAACAAAAGAGTTCTGATGAAGAGCTCTGTATAACTCAAAAGCTTGCTTGCTACTGGATTAACAGCACTTCATTTGCCTCATAAAAGCAATCACCTTCACCTGTTGTGCATCTGTGGGATATCAGCTTGTCAGACAGCCTGTTAATTTCATTTCAGCTTTGTTAATGTCACTCCCCCTGGCAATTTCACTGAAACCACCTTTGTCCTTGAAGACTCTTCTGTCATGCTTCCACTTAATTTATTACAGGCAGCAAATGAAATCGGTATGTTCTGGAAGTAGCTTTGGTTAGAAGAGTGCTTTTCAAAGAGATGGTGCTTGATCAATGAAATATGGTATTGTTGTTGTTGTTGTTTTCCACCACCATTTGGGGATCCCTTTGCCCCACCAGATAGTTTTGTGTTTCCTTTTACTCTGTGCTCTCTGGAACGAGACCAGGAGGCACCCTTCTCCATTGGGGATTGGGTCCCTTTCAGGTGTTTTTTTAGAGCCAAGAGAGTATATTATTGCACTCACAGCACACTTGATAGTCCGGAAGGAGAGCAGGTGCTCGGTCCTGTAGCCACTGTTCCCACTCCAGGCCTCCCACCGAGGGTAGTCTCCTTTCTCCAAGATGAATTGCTGTCCTTGGTATTCAGGGTACTCAAACCCCACCCAGCTGTAAAGATGAGAAGAGAGAGAGCGCAAATGATGGTAGCTTCAAATTTAAAACTCACAATAAAATTTAAAAATCAAAATCAAATATTTCTCAAACCATCCAATAACTGCCTGTGAAACATTATGGGGTAAAAGACTGGCAGAAGCCCCCTATGGAGTTCTCTCTCTCTCTCTCTCCTTCTACCCGTCAGCCATATATATCTGTGGATTCTCCAAGCATGCTGCTCTTTTCAAGCCAGCTTTGCAAATATTGCTCAATGGACACCGAAGCACTTACGGGCCACTTTCCACCTTGATGGAGCGGATCTTGCGGAAGCCACGTTCCATGATGCTGGGACACTCCATCAGAAACTCACAGCGCTTCCCCTGGAAGTTTTCTTCCTCCCAGACGGTTATCTTGAATTGACCCAGGGTCTCCATGTGCTGGCTGGTCATGGGCAGCTCTTCTGCTATAGAAATGCAACGTTTGTGGGTTTTTAATGCTTGTTTCTGGTGGTGATGGCAGCAGGGTGGGGTCAGCCCTGTCCCCCTGCACTACCCATAGAAAAGCCAAAGTACACCCTGTTAGCAGCTATCGTGGAGTAGCATCAGCAAGCACCATGCCATACAGTTAAGAAAATGGGTCATGGAGAAGAGACAGACAGTAGCATCTGAAATGCTAGAAAAAGTAAGCAGACTCTGAGGAGGATTATCTGGCTAAGTGATGAATTGAACAGGCCAAGAGAGTCCATGATGCTCCTTTTCATCTATTCCTCCCCAATTTGTCATCTCATTTTACTAGCACCTATCCCTGGTTAGTTTGTACAATGGAGCACCCCCCCTGTCCTTGCTGACCAGCGGCTGGATTCATGCAGATGGTGGAGTGAGTCAGTGGAAAACGGGTGCCTACACACCCAGCTCTACCACTAGACAGGGCGATGCAGCTCACCCCAGGGAGCAGGTTTGAAGGTCCTATTAAAGGGACCTTATTTCATTTTATATTATACAGGGTGAGTCCTTTAAAAGAGGCCCTGTGGATACAGAGTACACATATTCCACGGGGCCTCTTTTCAAAGACTCACTCTGTACTTTCTGACTCGGGAGCCAAATATATTGGGTCTTTTCTTTTTTCTTAAATGGAGCCAAATCTCATACCTTCCTTTAACCTAGAGTTCAGTCAACATCTGCAAGCTCTCGTAGGACTGCCAGTCCCCATGATCCAGCTGTATTCCTGTCTAAGTTTATGAGGTATGTTGTCTGGAGTTGGAGGGAAATCCAGAATCCAAGTGACAGGCCCCCTCCCCTCAATGGAAGAAAAGTTTTTGGAAAGCTTCCTTTGCATTTTTATTACACACAGCCTGGTGCCAGAATTGTGCCACTAGATTTCTGCTGACCCCTTCCATCTTACGTTATAGTGCACACTTACTTATACACACACCCTTCAGTGCTGTGTTTGACTTTCCTGCCAATGCATTCTAATTGTTACTTTTAAAAGAACAAAAGAAAAAAGAATAGCCCTGTTGCAGTTGTGGGTCATACAGAATTCTAGAGGTAGATGGGTCTGAAATGCCATTCAACATAGCCCTCTATCTAAAGGCAGGACCTGTCATTCAACAACAACACCCATCAACTAATGCAATTCAGACCACAGCTTGCTGCCAGCAAAGAGCAGGTGCATCAGGAAAGGTGCCGATAGAACAAACATCTCCAAGTAACTCATGAAAGCAAGCGAAACCAGTACAGAACCATACCCTGGAGGAATGTGCCGAATCTTTCCTGCCCAATTCATCCCCTTTGTCGGTTGACTCAGAAATTATGAGTTGAAGTCCTTGCAGAGAAATCTTTCCCCAGTGATTCTCCAAGGGAAGGGAAGTATATAGGGAAGGGGGAGACACTCAATTCCATTCACATTTAAATTCACATTTTCCAAAGCAGTTATCCTTCAGTTTTGTACTTATCCCAATTTTGCAATGCAATTCTCAAAGCAAACAGTGTTTACAAAAATGCATGTATTTGGGGAAAGTGTGCATAGAAACGAATATGTTATGGGAAAATAACATAAAAATGCATTATATTAGGGGGAATTGCTAGCAAAAATGTGTACATTAATCAAAACTGCATCCAAAAGTATGTTTATTAGGAGAAATACGCGCTAAAATGCAAATGAATTTTTATGAGAATTTAGGGAAATAAAGCACAAAATTGCTCCGGAAATACGAGGAATCAAATTTAAGACTGGAGAAACCGAGAGAACCAAAACTGATAGGTCCTTCCATCCCTACCAGCAGACCACACATAAGGACACAGGGGGTGGGCCACTGTTTGGGGAGGGCAGGGGGCTGGTACTTACTTGGCTGGCAGTGCACGGAGGCAAGAGTGGTGGTGCTGGGCTGGGGGACCCCAGCAGCATTATATAGCCTGGCTTGGCCAAGTGTCCAATGACTGAGCACCAATAGGTTGTGCTGAGTCAGCAGTGGCAGCTGTGGGAGGTGAAGCAGCCCAGCCCCAGCCCGGGCTGTCCATTCCTCTTACCCATCATGGCGAGATGCCTCTCCTCTCTCCTGAGGCTAACAATGGGAAGCACTGGGCATGTTTGCTTAGCAGCGGAGGGACACAAAAGACAAAGGCCCTGACGTGCCATTTTTCTTTCACCCTCCAAACAATGCCTCTGCTCAGCCAGAGGATTAAGAACACGGCCCTTTCCCAGGACATTGCACAGGAAAGGCTGACAGCCATTCCGCAGGACAGAGAAGCTACCCCTGGCGCCATCAGGGAATGGCACTCTAGAGAAATGCCTCCCTCTGCCCCAAGTGCCTCATACTTTCCTGTCCCTGGCATCGTGCCCCTCAGAGTGTGAAACCTTACTGAGCCTATACATCTGGGGTGATTCAAAAGCCTTCAAGTTAGCTCCAGACTTTGTGACTCAGATTCCCCCTCTTGACTGTAGTTTCCTTCTCAGAGCTACAATGGGCAGCACCCTGAACAAACTATAGTTCCCAAGTTCCTTTGGGGGGGGATCATGTGTTTTAAATGTGTGTTGGATATGCTGTAAATGTATGGTGTGGGCCTGCCACACCAAAGCGATAAGAATGCACATTTCTGCTTTGGCACCCTTTACATTTTACCCTGATTGCTATACCACAGGGGTGAGGAACCTGCGGTCTTCCAGGTGTTGGTGGATTACAGTTCACATCCTCCCTGACCATTGGGTGTGCTGGCTGCAGCTGACGGGAGCTGCAGTCCAACAGCTGGTGGGTTACAGGTCCCCCCAGCCCCTGTTGTACCTAGATGGGGAAACAGGTGTAGGGAATGTCTACTCCAAAGAAGTAGATAATAAGCAAGAATCCACATCTAAAGTAACCTGGAGGCATATATCAACAACTAATACGTAAATGCCACAAAAGCATGTTATTTCCCTTTAAGAATTCTGGGAATTGTAGTGTACAGTTACAATTTTCAATCACCCTTAGCAAACTACAGTTCCCAGAATTCTTTGAGGAAAAGATTGTGCTTTAAAAGTATAGTATACGCGGAGCCATAATGTGTGCACAGCCTTGTGGGGTTGCGTTCCAGCCACAGTGATGATACAGTACTTGCCTTGCACAACAATGAAGGGCTGTCCATTTGTATTTCAGAGTAACCTCTGTGGGAGCCACACCTGCTTCAGTGGCCTCCCAGCCCATTCTGTTCTTGCAGAAATCCTTCCACAAAAATCCAGCACTCTGTTGTGGTTGTTGAGAGTCCCACCCTGGCCCACAAGGGGGTGCAGAAGGGCAGGGATTGTTCAGGGAACTGCAAAAGAGAAAGACAATGGATAACGACTCACTAACTGAAATGAATCAAAACTATTTCCCACTTGCTTTCCCCTCCTGATGTTCTATACCAGGCTTCTCAACCTTGGCCCTCCAGATGTTTTTGAGACTACAATTCCCATCATCCCTGACCACTGCTCCTGCTAGCTAGGGATCATGGGAGTTGTAGGCCAAAAACATCTGGAGGGCCGAGGTTGTGGAAGCCTGTTCTATACATTATTACAGTTCTGTATTGGTAGGTTTAGATCAGGGGTCAGCAAACTTTTTCTGCAGGGGGCCAGTCCACTGTCCCTCAGACCTTGTGGGGGGCCGGACTATATTTTTTTTTTGGGGGGGATGAACAAATTCCGCGGGCCAGATTTAGAAGGTGATAGGGCAGGATCTGGCCCCCAGGCCTTAGTTTGCCTACCCATGGTTTAGATGTATTATTGATCTGTTTTTCACCCTTCCAACTCCCCTCTCCTTCTCTCAGGTCTTCTGAAGATTGTGACTCTGTGGGCAGAAACCTATTGTTCTATATTTGTACAGAGCTTTGTGCATATTAGGTGCTTTCATAAATGACTAGTTATGATGTGTGTGTAGTTTGATGGGGTCATAGAGAAGCTGTGATCTTGGGCTCACAGTTATCACGCTAGCCAGTATTTTCCCCCTTCGGTTACATTTTGGCTTTTAACCGGCTGATTAACTGATTCCTCTTAAATATTCTTGCATATTAAATTAGGCACTTTGCATTTATAAAGATGAGTGGGGTGCACATGTAAAATAAATACATGGCAAACCTCAGTGAAGTTGCTTCTCTGAGGATGCTGAAGGCAACTTAGTTCCTCTTAGATGTGTAAGGTGACCCATGTGACTTCAGCATTTCTGAGATCCAGGCCCATGAGGCAGATGAGGCAACCGCCTCACCTGGAAGGATCCATATGGACTGCAAATCTGGCCTCCAAGGAATGTTTCACTCACCAGTATGGCAACAGTTCCAGCGGTAGCTGCAACATGCTCCTTGGAGGCCAGATATGCAACCTCCTTGGCAGCCCCTCCCCCATGCTGCCCACACAGCAGATCTCTCTTGACTGGTCTCCATTATGATCAGTGTTAATCTTTATTTCCTCCTTTTTCCTGATGTAGATCTTCACTCCCCTCTTTTTTGTGTCAGGGTTTGTGTGCCATTATGCGTTCGTCTCCTCCAAAATATGGGTTGGACTAGATGACCCTTGGGACCTTTTCCAAATCTACAATTCTATGGCTCTATGTATTTTGTGTTTTTATCTTGTATTTTCATGCTGTGAACCATCCTGAGATCTTCAGATGAAGGGCAGTATTCCGATTATACACGTGTTTGCATACTTGTGTATAATCGGAACACTCATTGAAAACACCTCATTCCAACCCTGCCCCATTCTGCCTCCTTTTGTGACGTTTTTGTGATGTTTTCAGGTCGCCTCCAGGTTTGGCACAATGCATGTGTTTGCAGTCGCACACATATGAGATGAGCCTAAAACGGTCGCTGGCTATATACAAATTTAATAAATAAATAGTTACAAGTGTCAGATTGAATTCATGCATTCTGATGTGATGTGTTTTGTGGCCCCACCATTTTTATACTTGCATAGTCATTCTATAATTTACTTTGACCCCTAAGTTGTTTATGGATCATCAATTTGTTAGGAATGGCTAGGAAGATGAAGGATTAGATGAGAAGACCACAACTGCCCCCACAAGGAAAGTGGGGATGAGTCTCAACAATTGTGCTGTTTAACTTTGCATCAAGGGGAAAGAGAAGGCAGCAATATGCCCCCCCAGCATCCAAAGGTGATTCAGCTCCTTGGAAGCAATATGCCTTGGAAGAATTGCATCTCATGCCCTTCTGCCAGCTGTTCTATCCTCAACAACTGGTGCTGTCTCTAGGGGTTCCTAACTAATCTGCTAGCCATACTACAAGCAAGAGAAGGAGAAGGGGGGGTGGTATTTTGTTTTCTGTGTTGAAGTTGCTGCCTCCTATTGTTAGCTCAAGGCCTTCTCCTGCTGCTGCATAAGTTAATTTGATCTGTCAGGTCCATTCTATGGGGCACTAAAACAGATCATGTCTTTCGTTGTACCCAGCAGGTATGGTCAGTAAATATCCCTTCCCTGCAAGGTTTTCAGGATAATTTGGACCTCAATATTGACTGGCTGGTCTCCTTGCAAGTGGTTTCCCTATTACTTCTCTCCATGTCCTTTACTGGCTTGGGATGCCCAAATGCCACAGGAAGCAATGGTTTAATTACTCCAAATGGCCCCACCCCACTCCAATGACCAGCCTTGAAATTTCCAAAGGAAAAGTGTCTCTATTCTGTAGAGTTCAGTTGTCATTTCCTGAGTCCTTGGCCAAGGCCAAGTAGCTTGCCATGTAAGGATAAGAAAAATTGCACCTCTCGAAACAAGTTATTCTATGCTTCTGTTGAAAGAACAACATTGCATCCAGTTACCCTACTGGTATTGGTGGAAAGAATGTCTGTGGTTTGTATCTAGAAGGCTTGGCTGATCTAGTTGGTGAATTAAATGTGAGCAATCATTTCAGTTAATACAGAGTATCTACAAAGAACTTGGCATCATTATCTTTGATTCGTTTGTTATAACAGACCAGAGTATAATTAGTTTGTTGAGCTACGGTAAATCGCTGAGTAACCAAACCTTCTATTTGACTTCATTAAAAGTGACTGAACCAATGAAATCACTTACTTTCACATCATGGGACCAATCCCAAAACCAGCCACACAATTACATCCACAAATTAGGTAAATGTTGAATAAGGAACCAAGGCAATAATAAATCCTACCCAAAGATTAAGAAAGTGGAAATCTGTCCAAAAACTTGCTCCGACCATAACGCCCTGAAGATGGAGATGAAAATTACAATAACTGGTCAATTTAGATGGAGAATGAATGACACCCTCTTTCGAGATAAGGAGATTCTCACGAAGGCCCAAAAGACTCTAAAAGACTACTTTGAAATAAATCTGAGGACCGACGTGGAGAAAAGAGTGATCTGGGATGCAAGTAAGGCGGTAATGAGAGGATTTTTGATACAACAAAATTCAATAAAGAGGAAAAAACAGAATGAGAAAAAAGAAAAGATTTTGGAAATGATAAAGGAAGGAGAGAGAAAATTAAGAACAAAACCAAAGTCTCAGGACATCTTAAGAGAGATTAAGTTGTATCAAACACAATATATGGAATTGATGAACCAAGAGATTGAATGGAAGATAAAGCAAATGAAGCAAAAGACTTTTGAATCAGCAAATAAATGTGGCAAACTCTTGGCATGGCAACTGAAGAAAAGGCAGAAACTAAATACAGTTACAAGCCTAGAGGTGGATGGGAAAAATATATCTAAACCCAATGAAATCAGAAACTGCTTTCTAAGTTACTTCAAAAAACTTTACACTCAAGGCCCGCAAAATGAAGAAGACATAGATAAATTCCTTGGAAAATATGGATTACAAAGTATCTCTCACCAAAGTAAGATGGATTTGAGCCAGAGAATCTCAGAACAAGAGATAGAGGCTGCCATTCAGAATATGCAATTGGGCAAATCTCCAGGACCAGATGGACTGACTTCCGGATACTACAAATCGTTGAAG